GCTACTGTGGATTGTTTAGCACCAGAGATACCCCATTCAAAACCACAATCTTCTATTGAATTCTCGCTTCCACGGCAATCAAGATTATCTATCAAAATGGGAAGTTTTTCATCGTTCATAAGACTTCCTGCTGTTGATGCTTTTCCTGAGTTGTTGCTCCAGCACGCAACATGAGCGTCAGCCAGATTCCAGTTGTTGGCAGACACAGCTCCCCAAACACCAAAGTACTGGACTTCCACTTTACTTAGATTTGTTCCTGGAACTTTAACCAATCTCATACCAAAATTTGGGTCATTGACTGTTGCGATAAAACAAAAGGAATCAATGCATTGAAACATTCAGAACGAGTCACAGCATTTAAGAGATATTAATGTAAAGGACTTTGACAAACCTCCAGGCCGTTCACATATCACTCCTGCATGGTGATTTTTAGGACATGAGTTGTTTACCCATCCATCATGATTACACTCTTCTAGTGATTTGTCGCTATTGCTGCAGCTTACGTTTGACAACCAGATTTTGGCTTGTCCTCCTCCAAAATGGCTGATAGGTACTAAAGCTTGTTTAAATCCTTTCATTTGACAAGCGACATCTGCATCCTTTTTGTTCCACCCATTACCACAAATTGATCCTGCACTGCCGTTTACCTTTAGCGTCACTCTGCCATCATACTTTGATACTTGATTTTCCAGATCGACTGTTATATTATCTGTGTTAATATAATTGATTAGAAGTTAATACTCGAAAGCTTATTCATGGAAGTTTTTAAAAAGCAAGTTCTCTAGTCTCAGACCTTTATAACGACGGCAGACCACTCCAGCATCCATGCTATGATTACATGAAGTTGTCTTTTCCTGCCCATCACTAGTGCATTTCTCAATATTGTTTTCACTTCCTTTGCATTGAACCCCAGACATCCATATTGGACCAGTTCCTTCGCCATATGATTTATACGCTGTCATTGCGCTATCAAAACCTTTCATGCGACATACTACATTAGCTGCACGCATGTCCCATCCCGAATTGCAAACTGATCCCCAAATGTTGTGTCTTTGAACTTCAACTCGGCCTCTTGCATTGTCTGCACCACCGCTTAGACGTACGTTTTGAGGTAACGGTGTTGGTGTGACTGTAGAGGAAAACAAAATTGTTTGCATAAAGAATATATTTAATTTTCTGATGATTGAACAAATGACAGAACTTACCTATAATTTTTGGAGTGCAAACAACCCCTGCGTAATTGCCTTCTTCACATGTGTTAACCTGTTCTAGCTTTAACCCTGTGCAATTTTTCATGGATACTTCTGTTCCTTTGCAGTGATTGACAAGCTCGAAACTTACGTTACCAGTGTGTTTACCCCAATGAGAAATAGTCACTGCTCCGGTAAAGTTTAGCATTCTGCAGATGACATGTGCGTCTTCTAACTTTAAATCCTTAGCACATATATTTCCCCAGATATTATAATATTTCACGGTTAGGCGTCCAGAATATGGAGCTGGAGTTGTTACATCCTCAAGACGGAATTTCACATCTAGTGTGTCGTTTACTAAAAGACATAAGTCAAAATATATTTAAAAAGGAAAAAGGAATTTCTTGATTTGGAAATTAAGTTCTTTGTTCATACTTCTCTTGCACACAACTCCAGCACGTAGGTTGTTATTTTTTGCGCAATTCTTGTTTTCCCAGTTCCAGGAATTACTGCATTGTGTGATGGAAATCTCGTCTCCTTTGCAAGCTATGTCTAAAAGCCATACTTCTTCTGACCTTGGGTTCCCAGCTTGGCTAGTGATTTGGGTGATGTACGCTACATCGTCATATCCATTCATTTTACATATTACTCGTGCATCTTTCGTATCAAAGCCATCGTAGCAAATGGATCTGTTAACACCATAGTAACTAATCTCTATTCTTCCATCCRMCATCACTTTAGYRGAGAGGTTTGGTGGCCCTGTAGACAAAAAAGACGCAAATATTTGCAATATTATCAGGTTTGTGATTTATAGATCGCTGATTTTGAAAGAAAAGTGTACCAAAATCGAGGGCCAAACCACCTCTTTTTAAAAAAATCTCTTTTACTGCATAAGAAGTGAACACAAAAAGCCTAGTTACCTGCTGGGAGACACACTAATCCAATGTCATTGCTGTGATCGCAGGTGGATTTTGAACCCCATTCAGGATGATAGCAATCATCAAGCGATCTTTCGCAGCCAACGCATGATATGTTTTGAAGCAAAATAGGTTGTGATGTGTTTCCCGGTTGAAACTTTTGGAATTTCAGGGCTCTTGCAAATTTAAGCATTCTACAAGCGACATCAGAAGCATTGATATCCCAGCCCTTATCACAAACGGTGCCCCATTCTCCCATTTTTATTTCAAGACGACCACTGTTATTATGAGCTCCACCAACAAGTCGCAACTCAATTCCTGAAAAATGAATACAAACACTGTACTTGTAAATAATAGATTTTTTATACAATACTTTGCTCTACAGGTAATTAATTATGTTGCCTACCTCTTTTACAAATTACACCTGCATAATTTAAACTTGGGCAAGGCAGACTTTTCCAGTTCCAAAAGATATTACAACCCTTTATGGTCTTCTCGTCTCCTTTGCATGTCATGTTCAAGATCCAAACATGTCTTAATTTTATGTCTAGAGTTCGACTGTCAATATAAGTGATTTGACGTACATCTTCATATCCGTTCATTCTACATATAACTCGTGCATCTTTCGTATCAAAGCCATCGGAGCAAATGGACTTGTTAATACCATGGTAACCGATTACTACTCTGTTGTTTGGCCCAGAATGTACGCTAAGTGTTCCGTTAGTATCTGTAAAAAAGTTGAAAAATTGAGCTTAATTCTATTTCAATCAAGCAAGGGGAATAAAGAAATATCACGTTTTCATTAAGTTTTGAATTGATTTTCAATATTGCATTTAGCGAGTGCTAAGAATTACAAAGAGCAAAAGCTTTACTAACAGCTTACCGTTCGCAAGACAAACAACACCAGCAATTCTGTTGTTTGCACAACTTTGGGCTGCAAAACTAGAATGGGTACAGTTTTCGATTGTATTTTCACTACCCACACATGAAAGATCTTTTAACCACGCTGTATGTGATGATTTTGCCAAACTCTTTTCTGTTACAGCTTGCTTATAACCAAGCATTCTACAAACGACGTTGGCTTCATCAATACCAAAGCCATTGTCACAAATGGTGCCCCAGGTGCCGCCATACAAAACTTCAATTCTCCCTTCCTTCCCATTGATACCACCACTCAGACGAACTAGAGAAGAGAGCATAGACCATGAATCAATAAGTATAATTTCTCATTCCAATTTACATAAATCGCATTAAAATTGATTTCCCTACCTTGGTATCCAGAGCACACAACACCAGCATCATATTTGTGAGTATTGCAATCAGAGTGAACGCTTCCCCATCCATTGTGAGAACAGCTTCCAAGTGAGGACTCTGAGCTGGAACATGCTATGTTGTACAGCCATACCTTATCCGTCCCTCGTCCATAGTGCCAATATTCTACAGTTTTGGTAAAACCAAGTTGTCGACATGCAACCTTGGCATCATTCATACCCCAGTAACCAACACAAACTGTTCCCCACTGACCCTGATAGTAAATGGCGTCGTCAATATAGCATTTCTTAAAGTATTAATTAATGATGGGTTGTCAGTGACAAGTTTGTTTGGGAACGAGTTTTAAGTGACCTCAGGTGTCGGTTTTCCATTTATCATTTAGATTTGTCCTTGCAAAGAAAGTCCTATACTTAAGCAATGGTCAATGCTTAGGGTGCGTAAATCTGTTTATGGTGTACGCGGATAGTTGAGAGAGCTTCATGATAGCATAAGCATTGCAGGAGGCGGATCCAAAGAATCGGGTCAATGGTTCAAGCCCTGCAAACACCATATGTGAATTGAGTTTATTTGATGTTTTGTTTTCTCCTTTGTCACGAGGGTTTTTGCTCCGCGTTCTCCGGTTTCCTCCCTCCGCAAAAATCAATTTGTGAATTGAGCAGGTCACTGTTTGGGGTACCCTTTAGTAAAGAATCACAGCATCGGGTAATTACTAAGTCAAGTGTGTGTCCATGAATATGTGTGGGCTCTCTAACGTGTTGTTAAAGTCCTACGAGTGTAACAGGTCGCGGAATTCAGTATCTGATGGATCATCCATGTTCAGATTAAAGTCACCCATTATAATAACAGGTTTCTTGCTTAGGATTATAGATTCAAGGTAAACAGGGAATTCATCAATAAATTGTGCAGAATTACCTGGACTGAGCTGTAGAGTAGTGTGGTCTATAAGCAACAATAACCTTGAAATGAAATGATATGTAAGGCTAACTTCACATTATCATATGGCATCAATGTTTCGCGCGCTCTGATTGGCTGCTTAGCAGGCAAGATTTTCTTGTAATTACCGGTCATTACGGAAATTGTTCTCGGCTTCATTCACGGCTCTTTTCAGTTGGGATCAAAAGCTACGAAACCAAACATTAAATCAACCGAAAACATAAACAAAATACATTTATCTTTTCAATAACTGAAAAAAAATTATTGTATAGCTTAGAGATACTTCTCAGTGTACAATGAGCGACGAAGAGAGCCACAGCGAAAGCGAATTTTACTAT